GGGGGGCTAAGTCTCACAAAAAAATACAAATACAATATTTTTTTTATTTACACTATATTAACTATTTACAATTATATGTATAGGCATACATTTATTTATTTATTTATTTATTGTTGTATTCAATTATTGTTATGGTAGAAAATTAATATTTAAGCTTGATAAAATTCTAAGGTCGACACAGTCTATGGGTAGGGCTATAGCCCTCTTAGCCCCCCTCCCCCCTCCCACTACACCACTACTACCGCAACTCAGGCTGACAATATAATCATTTAAACTTACAGAAGTAAGTTTTTAACATTTTGTAAATCAGATAATGATAGGTATAAATAACTAAGTAAGAACTATGGTTTATGATGCACAGAAAAATAAAAGCTAGGAATCTAGGACGATGAGAAATTTCATGATAAACAGTCAAATATATTAGACTAATAGAGAATTACTGGACCTACATAATTAATGTATTGAACTAGGAAAAAAATTGGCATTCGGTCGAAAACTAAACGGATCTACAACAGAGCTATGACATATGCACTCAGAAGTTATACGTATGGTTTTTCAATTATAGGGTACTAGGGTTAGTGGTATAGTATTTTAAATTTTGATATTCATATGTATAATATATATTTGTATACTCCAAAAATATACATTTTTATACACCAATATCGATATGCCAAAACTCGACAGATGTTTTTTTTAAACTTGAACTATGGTTCAACTCCTAATTTCTGCATTCGGTTTAATAATGCTGGTGTACCGCAACATGTGAAACTTCAGGATTTTTCTTAAGTGCAATATTATTTATTTTCTCGGTATCCTGTAAATAACAGTGTTTCATTAATAATATTTTATTATTCATCGCAGAGCATTAGTCCCGGTTTTGTTGACACAGAAATATTCGATGCAGCCAAAATGACGCAGAATAAAATGAAGCCATCCGATATCCTGAGCGCAGAAGAAATGGCCGATATGATATGTTTCGTCATGTCAACAGGACCAAATATATTGGTAAATACGATTTAAAACTATGCATTCGTAATATTGCCTATATATTCAAACGTCGTCAATGGGTGTTGATACTATATGTTAGAATGTTAAATCAAATTAATTTAACATTAAACGATTTTTTTTTTACAGATCGCTGAAATGATTGTTCTAAGCCAAGGTCGTTGCATCCAATCATACCCACGAGAATAATATACAACCATAAGACCGAAAAGTGATACATAGACACTATATAATGTGATATGTTTGAATATAATCACTTCATAATAATATGTATAAATGAATATCCATGTACCAATTGAGTTTTTACTTTCTTAAAAATTTCGTTTAAAATTATTTTTTTGGTTACAAAAGATTTGCATTTTAAAAATATCAAATAGGTATTAATTTTAAGTATAGATGTTTTATATTACAATTAAACACGGTATCTAACTTTCTAGTTTCTATACAGAATCACAATCACTTGTCTATAAATGAAAACATAAATTTAACGTTTAATTTAATTGTTTATTATTTGTTTAATATTTAGAAGGATWTCTATGAATTATAATGTTATACAGAGCAATTCACCTGCAAGTATGCCATTTAACTTTTTAATTTAATAATAATTTTTCTAGAGTTTTATTTTTTGAAATGATTAAATAATATAAATATATTCAAAAACCATACAATCAAATTCTTGAGATTTTTGTATTACATAAAGAGTTTTCCAACATTTTTAAATATATATACTGAACACTTGTCACTCACCAAACCGCTAAAATGTTTCTACTTTTAAAAATTTCAGTAACGGCCTTGTGTTCGTGTATCTTTAATATTCTTGAGCTCCTAGAAAAAATAATCACGAGGAACTTTGTGTTGAACTCCAAGCTTATTGAATATTGACCAAAAGAAAAAATAGTTCATTGATATATTTAGAATGAAACCCGAAACAGAATCGCAGAAATAAAATACGAATGTTTAAATAACTTGAAAATCCTAAATGTTTTGGAAATTATATTTTATGCACCCATATAAAATGTTAAAATAAATATTTGGTGAAAATTTCTAATATTATATAAGTAGGTTCATAAATAAGAAAATCATTCGATGATAAATCGTTATTTTACCTTTAAATATTCAAATCGTAAAATTTTGAACTTCAAACGCTCATAAAAACTCATATGACTTTTCGATAATTTTTTTTTGTTTAATGTAGGAAAACTTATGATGAATTACGATTACATTTTTATCTTAAAGCTACCCGAGGTCCGAAAACGTTTTGGAGGGCGATTGTAAACTCCGCCAGAATATCGGTCGAGATAAAAAGGTAATAATAGGTCTATGGTAAACTCCGCCAGTTTTTTTTTTTTACCTGGTCAGTGCGACAGCTCTCGCATTGCCACGTGCCTTCTCACATTAAATACGTTTACATCTATATCATCTATATCATATTGATTTTATACTACTATTTGATTTTCTTCACTGGCGGAGTTTACATGAACTCAATTTTACCTGATTTTTTTCAGTGGCGGAGTTTACAT